TTATTAAAATATATACAGGGTAATCCAAAGCTAGTACAACTGTTACTTGAGAAGGGAGCTGCGGTGGAACATGTTGATCTTCACGGTATGCGACCTCTAGACCGAGCAATTGGATGTCGCAATATACCAGTGGTTCAATGCTTCTTACGTCGTGGTGCTAAACTCGGTCCTGCTACATGGGCCATGGCAGCGGGAAAACCAGACGTCTTAATAATTCTACTAAATAAACTTTTAGAAGATGGTAATGTTTTATATCGAAAGAATAGGCTGAAAGAAGCATCGCATCGATATGCGTATGCCCTTAGAAAATTCCCAACTTCACCAGAAGAAGATTGTCAAGGACAGGAGCAAAGTCATATGATGCTTCAAACTTTTACACAACTTCATATGAACTTTCTTCTAAATCTGAGCCGATGCAAACGCAAGATGAACGTTAGTAATCTAGTTTTTTAAATGTTTATACATAGACCTAATTGTTCACAATGACAAATTTATATTACTTTTATGAACAATAACGTGATTCTTTAACAGGAATGTACCGAAGCTATTGAACTCGCTAACGAAGCTCTTAGCATCCGACCCATTTCTTATGAAGCGTTCTACGCTAGAGCTAAAGCGCGTGTAGATCTAGGTATGTTCGAAGATGCTCTATTGGATGTTCAGGAAGCTCTTCAAAACGCACCAGTTCACAACAAACAAGATCGTAGAGTACTTGCAACTTTGAAAGAAGAGATTGTCTGTCGAATGAATGATGCTGGGACCAACCAAGAACATGACGATTATATCGCTAAATCTCGTCTGCGGGCATCAGTGAATACTCTTACTGAATTGTAATGATATTTGATTAGAGAGCAGTCAAATAAATTAAAATTATACCTATTCAATTTAAACATAATAATAATAATGATAAATTACAACAATGTTATCATGAATTCATGACACGAAGGCCGGATTTAAAAAACGGCAACAAACTTTACTCAATCTTTTGAATCTTTCTAAAGTAGTTTAACAACTACATCGAAATTTAAGATGCTGATACTAAAAAAAGATCAGCAATGCTAAGAATATAATTATTAAATGATTCGCGCGGCATTAATAAATATTTATAACTCGCTTTTTAATTATTGATGTTTTGCAATGTTTTGATACACACGAGCGTGTAATGATTTTTTTATACATCTTATATATTTATATGTATGTATATATGTATACATATATACAAACATATACATGTGATCTTTTATTATTCCAGAATATTATAGTAATTGGTTTAGATCAGTCTAACTTAAACTATTTAATTGTGTTCTTATCAGTATTTTATATTTTTATAAATTTTATAAATCATTGCAAA